TCGTGCACTTTTGTGGGTGGAGTAGATTGTTCCAACGCTGTGACGCTGTCTTTTTCGTATCATCGAGACAGCGTCACAGTGTTCGGGCGAGTCCAATCTCGACTCGTTGGTGTGGCACCGTCAACGTGTTTGCAAAATTGTGCACCCGAAAAGTGCACGATGACAAAGCAGAACTACAGTACTCGTGAACATACACGTGTACTTAGGGAAACGACACGACCAATTTGACAACGTGCCATTCCAAACCCAAGGTAAATACAAAACGGGCTGAGCGAACCAAATGAAGGCACGCGATGAGATTTAACGCAACAAGAATTCACACACGTGTCAAGCCGACGGGAAACATCTCGAACACACACTGCGACGCATCCCAAAAAATCATCCTAAATCCCAGGTGGAAAACACAAATAGGTTACAAACACAAATACTCACCTGTTTCATGGCGACGGTCCGTGCCTCCTTGTCCTCGACGGGAACGTCGTTCGCAGCCATCGACTCGACCAACTCGGTCGTCAAGCAGCGCCGGACGATCGACGCCTCTGCATTCCGTTTGTTGGACCCGCGGTAAGGCCGCTTGACAAGGGCGATGTGCACATGCTCGTACAAATCCGTGCAATAATGCACCGGCACACCTCCACGCCTGATATCGTCTGCTACATGCAGCATTGCGTGGACCTTGGGAATATTAAATTCCGACGCTTGGTCCTCCCCGAATTGTTCTAGTAGTTGTGGTACAAGTCTGGAAACACGAAAGTTACAAAACATAGAGAATTAACAAGGAGCTAGTGTTGCACGCCAATACCCTTGAAGGGTCGGAAACTCAATCAGACACCACAACAACATTCCGGACAAATTGAACATTCACACTTTCCCATCAACGACCACATTTACAAAAGAGCTTCTATTACAATTGTAACCTAAACAATACTGATTGTATCGAAAAACCGTTGTGCTGCTCGCGAGAAATTAAGAGTGGGAGGAATATTGACGCGCGCACCACAACCTAGCGTAGAGTCCTTCGGTTTACAGGCTCACGCGACCATAACGGGACAATTCAAAAGAAACAAGAACAGTAATGGAACTAAACCAGAAAACACAATTTTTGCAAAAAAAAAAAAATCAACCATACACAAATAAAACTCACTTTCGTGTCATATCCTCCAAGTCTTCAAGAGTCTTCTCAGTGTGATATGCTCGGTGCCATGCGCTCGCATGCCATTGGCAGAAGAGCTCAATGGTCCGAAGAATCTTCCGTTTCACGTTCTGTCGCATCAATAGGACTGGTAGAACCTGCATAACTGCCTGGTGCTGAAATGCGTAAAAGGTTTTATTACCACTAAAATAGCCGTCAGTATGCGCCGGGATCCGGAAAAATGACTGTCGACTATAGTCAGTAATGTTTGATAGGTCCGCATCCATATTCGTCAACACCTCGGTCGACAACTGCCGCTTTAAACACCCTAAAATATGCTTGTAGACGCCTAAACTACTCATGTGCATAAGATCGACCATCAGTGTTCTATACGGATTCCCAAACTCCTCCGTCGCAAAACGAAAGCCCCATAGGGCACACTCAACTCCATGCGTACTATGCTCAACCTCTAAGTCGTTTCTTCTAGTCTTGCTCGCCGCACTCTCTATTTCGCTCACTATTTTTTTTGCTGCTCCTCGGTTCTATAAACAATGGGCTGTGTCATATTGTTCAGTTTCGTGCGATGAACCATACACTTTGGACACGGAAAGGCGGTGCTCATTCCTGATTTCGTACCGGCGACCTTACACTGTTCGGGATAGTCGCCGACGTACGCGTATGTCACAGGATATACCCAGCGCTGAACCCCGTATGGATCGGTCAAAAGCTCGCCTCTGTTCATAGAAAAACAGCAAAATACAACTTTAACAAGGATTAAAAACACGAAGGAGACTATATGTGAAACACTTGTATATCGAATTCGATTGCACCGAAAAACCGCTGTTCCGCTCGGGTCAATTGTGCTCCCGAAATTTCACGCGCACAAAAAACTCCCCGTACAATCCTTCGCGTTTGTGGCTCAGATGAGCTTTAAGTCACCCTTGCCTTGCACAAGATAACAGTATTGGAAAGCAACAGAAAATGCACTATACTCCAATGAAGTAAGAGAACAATGCAGAGATTGAAATAAAACGATCAAGAAAAACACCAAAGGAGCTTACTCTTTTTCAAAGTGACGTTGTTCTTCCAGTATTAGTCGTAGTGCCTCCTGAAACACCTCGTGTCGACGTCGCGTCTCCTCGGCCTTTGAAAACGTTTGTTTGTCAATCTCTGGTAGAAGAGCACACAGGCGGTGGCCATGTGATTTCCAGCGATTCGCCGATGATATGTTTGCCAATGAAACGTAGACGGGCCATCCGACAACACCACCATCAGTCGTCAGTGTTGTCTCGTCAGAATAAATAATTACAGCCGCTATTACTTCTTCTTCCTCCAGTTTGGATTGTACACTGCGCCACCACGTTCCAGTCTCTGGCCCCTTATATATTACCCACGCATTTTCAGGTAATTCTTCCGGCTCGACTACAAAGCCGTCTGCATTTGCAGGATTCTGATACAATCCACGGACACATGACATTGTCGGCCTCCAATATAGGTATATTGGTTTTGAATCTCCAGGTTTGCTCACGTCCACCTTTAAAAATCCGGTCAGATCTGTCTCTGCCGTCTTCGCCTCTTCATACCTGCTGAATTCAGCTAAGGACTTAAGGTTCACTTTGCCAGGATTTTCCAGGGCTTCAATGACGATGTCGATAAACTCCTTTGTGTCTGCTCTTGAAAGTCCCACACCACCCGCCGCTGTTTTACAGAATCTGAAGAGTCGAAAATCGATGTCCACTACGGTTGGGTTAGCACGTGGGGAGAAATCATATCCGGTTGTATCAGCGTTCGGTTGTGCGCTATCTGCCTGAGGCAGCGGTCGGCCAGCCAAATCTGCCTCTTGTGCAGCTGCTGACCTTCTCCTCTTTCTACTCTGGTTTTCTAAGGCTTGACCAGCCTCACGAAGTCTGGCTGCGTACTCCTCATCTCCGCCACCACCAGAAGCTCTTGATGAAGTCTCTGCTGCTTCGCAATACACGTGCTGCCCACGAGCAAGGTGACGTGCCTTCTCAAGAGAGGTTTTGAAGGTGACTTTACAACCTTCCTGGTCACAACTGTACTGCACTTCCTGGTCCGCCATAACAATAAGGGGTTGGATTAAATAACTCCTTATAATTTTACAGTGTACACACACTTGTGCACCAGCCAGAGACTACCACTCCAATCTAAACTAGTGGTCAAAACTCTGGCACCGGCGGAACAAGCGCGCTTGCAGTTGAAGGCGTTACGGAAGCTGCTACGTGGCGGTTGTTGGTGACGATGTCTAACCCCGTTGGGCGGTTGGAAGCTGAACCTGCAAGCGCAATAGAGGGTGTAAGAGTACGTAATGGGGCATTAGAACAAGGCCTCACTGAGAACATGTGACATTGATACAAATATACATAGAAAGTAAAACCCCAGAAAATGAAACAGCAGGTTACAAAGAAAAAAACAAATAAAAACACCAGAAACTAAGCCAGCAATTGAGCTCGAGCTTACCACTGCGTCAGGAGTTTACGTTGCAGTTGTCGCGTGAGGGATCAGATCAAGCGGTGGCGGAATGCAGGCTGCTGCGAGAGGGAGTAGAGATGGCCGTCGTTACGCTGGTTGAGTGGATCATCGCGAGTTCTGCGACAAGACACAAACTGTTGTGATCATGGTTAGCGTTGAGCAAAAATCAACTTCAAAATAGGAGTGTATCAAATCAGTACCACCCTAAAAGATACGAAAATGGCGGAAAACAAAACAACAGCAGTAGGAACAACGACTACATTAACTTACCGTAGCGACAACCCCTTCCCGCATCAGACACTGTATGGGCTTGCCAAGTTAAAAATAACCAAGTGCAGAGCAGGCACAAGGAGCATCTGAAGGCAAGCAAGGACTTGGTGAAAAGCAAAAACGGGGAAGGCTGGAACAGTCACAACAAAATGACGAGGGGTTCCCACGACCCCTCTGACTCTGCTCCGAAGTGTATCGACTCTGGTATTTCAGGGCGTGTTCGAAATCTGTTTCGAACACTCCCGTGACATCCGTTCTGTCGTGTCGGTAAATCCTGACCTTCGGTTTGAAAACTTATACCGTCGCGATTCTCCGGCATTCGACGACGGTTGTCGGCAACCCTTTTCAGAGACACCCTGAACGGCTCGAGTTCAAAAAGGAGAACCTGCCTCCCCACCATCCAAACTCGACGCGTGGCAACATCTGGTTTAGGCGGCTGCTGACCAAAGGATGTACCCAATCAGTACCCAGGATCGAGAATTTCGATGACATCTGTCACCTGATAGGATCGCCACCTGTCTAACCAGAAAAGTCGTTCTGGTAGGATCAGATTTCAGTATTGACAACATGTTCAGTTACATACGTCAGTATTGTGATATGTTCATTTACGATAAAATATGATCACACATTTATGCTGCTCATAACATTAACAACAATATCCTTACCACAATGCAAAATAAACACTTTCAACCAACTATTACATATAGAATTAACAACCCTAAACAATCTAAACGCCCGTGTGGGAACGATATGCATTTTCAAAACCTCTAAATCCGCAAAATATAATTATCCCGTTTAATATACTTATACAAATATATTAAACGCACTACAAATATAACCACTTGTTGTTTCAACCAGTTGGTAACTGTATTGCGCGAGCCTCAATTCGCTCCCACCAAACCTACCAGCCGAGCCTGCGTAGTTGACATCAAACACCCAGAAACACGCGCACCACTTCACATCTCACGCAATACCCCAACAACACTCCCACGAATCATGCGAGCAACATTCTCGCATGATTCCCAACCCCTGGAAGACGAGGAAGAAACAAACAAGATTCGCGCATGTCACAATCCCCTCCCCCCTGTTTTGCGATGACCACCGGTCCTTAGGAAGAGGGGGGACCTAGTAACCCCTGCCGCTCCCCCTCGCCCCCCTCCCCCTCCTGCTCCGCCTCCCCTCCCCCTCCCGCACATGTGCCTGTCGTTGCTCCTCCTCCTCCTCCCCCTCCCCCTCCCCCTCCTCCTCCTCCTCCTGCTCCTCCTCTTCCGCCCATCATCGCACTCCTATCCACCCCACTTCCTACTCCTCCCGTGACATCCCTCCCCTCTACCTTACCCACACCCCTCCCAGGAACAAACTTGACCGTATCCTCCCCTTCTCTCTCACTCTCCCCTCCTGGCCCCCTCCCGCCCCACCCCCACCCCAACCCCTCCTATCCCTGCCCCCTCTCCCCTTGCTGCCGCTGCTGCTCTTGCTGTCGCTGCTGCTCCTGGTGCTGCAACAACAGCTGCCCCTTCGTCTGCTGATACCTCAGCTGAGGTAATGTGGGCTTTAACTCACTTGGGCTCTTTGCCTGCGTCAAGCTCTCCCGGATCGCCTTCTCAATCTCGCGCGGCCGGATCGTTTTCGATAAATAATAATTCATCCCAGCAGCCATGCGGCTATCCTTATCCCCGCTAAGAGCAGACGCAGTAAGCGCGACGATAAACGTCCGGTGCGGCCGCGGCGACATTTGAGCCCTTCGGGGCTGGGAGGGAGAACTAGCTTTGCTATCGCTGGCATTACTTTTATCGACCCAGCTGGCGGCGCTGCCGTAAGGGGAGCCGTTGCCATAGGCGGTCATGGCTGCTGTGTACACCTGCAGCCTCTCCGCCTCCATCTCTCGAATCTTCCGCTTGACTTCAAACCCGTCCATCTCTGGCATGTGGTAGTCATGAGGGGGGTGGGGATGATGGAGGGCCTGGGTAGAGGGAATGGAAAGAGAGGAGAGAAGAGGGAATGGGAGGGGAGGGATGGGGAGAGAAGGGGAGGAGAGGGAAGAAGAGGGGAGGGAAGGAGAGGGGAATGCGTTACCACAGGCGGCCATGGCTGCTGTGTACACGTGCAGCCTCTCTGCCTCCATCTCTCGAATCTTCCGCGTGGCTTCAAACCCGTCCATCTCCGGCATGTGGCAGTCCTGGTGGGCGATGCGGGTGGGGAGGGTTAGAGGGAAAGGGGAGGGTAGTGGAGGGAAGGGCAGTAGAGGGAGGGGAAGGGAGGGGAGGGGAGGGGAGGGGAGGGAAGGGACAGGGAAGGCAGGGGAGCGTGGCTCGCGATAAGGGCAACTTCTGCCGCAAGTTCTGCTGCTACAGCAGCACGAAGTGTTGGCGAGGCAGCAGGAGGAGCAGCTATAGAGGGTGCAGCAGCTGCAGCTATGGCACTCAGTGCAAAGGCAGCTTCAACACCATCAGCTGCAGCAGTTGCAGCATCTGCATTTGCAGCAGCAGCTGCTGTAGCATCTGCATTTGCAGCAGCAGCAGCCTTTGCAGCAAGTTCTGCTGCTACAGCAGCATGAAGTGTTGGCGAGGCAGTAGGAGGAGCAGTTGCAGAGGGTGCAGCAGCTGTAGCAGTGGCACTCAGTGCGGAGAGTCACTCTACAACGGTAGTAAGCTAGACTACGGGGTTTGGCACGAACTATGAGGAGTGTTCGTAGCTTTGCTTAGTTCTGTAGTACTTGCACATACACAGGAGAAGCCTGCAAGAGTTTCACTAGGCAAAGTTGGAATTAACGAATAATTGAACAAGCAATGATAGAAATGACAACATCAGGCACCTAGCAACTCTGCAGGTAGCCTGGTCGACCGCCAGCACTGCATGGTCGACCGCCTGTCAGTGCTACGTAGAGGAGCCGTGCCAGCACTGCAGAATGGCGACCTGCCAATGCAGTAACTCGACGGCGTGCCAACGCTGCAGCAGTGCGGTTGTCCAGCATTGCACCCGTAGATGGCAGTAGTGCGCACGCTCGCAGATGCGCGTAGACGACTGGCCCGACTTGCATGGTTGTGCATCCGTCGGCTGTTGTCTGCGCCTGACGAGCCACATAAACTTCGGGATACCAGCCCAAAGTCACCTTCGCCATCGCGACCTCAACGACGTTCGCGTGCCTCCGCATAACTCGTCGAGCAGGTTACCCGGTCGACCTGGACACCACCAGGTGCTCTAGTCGACCATCAAGTGCCTCTGGTCGACCACCGGATCCATCTGGTCGGCCACCAAGTCCCTCTGGTCGACCACCAGGTGCCCCTGGTCAACCACAGCTCCCGTCAAGCTACGCCCTGGTCGATGGACCCCTCCGTGGACTAGAACTGTTAGCTGATGTCGCCGAGCTCCCCTCGTCGACCACTGCTCACTTGTCACGTCGACGGACTACTCCGTCGACCTCTCGGTCGAACTGCTCCTCCTGGTCGACGGCCCACCTGTTGCCCAACCCAGTTAGCGGCAAGTGTCGAGCTCCCTGGTCGACTCCAGCCCCATGACAGTCCAGTGTAGGTCACCAACCACCTTGTGGACCTGCCCCGCAGAAGAAGGCCATCAAGCATTCCTGGTCGACGGCAATCACCATAGTGGTCCCCTGCAGCTCGACAAAGCCCATCGAGCAGCTCTCCCACTGTGAACAGTCGGCTGCTTCTCCCATACATCCAACCAAGTTGTAGGCATTGCCCAAGCGAGGGCGGGGCCAACTCTCCACTCTCGTTAACACTCCCCTTGCCCCGCTCACGCTTGGGCCCCCAGCCCACACGGCAGTACTCCATGGAGAAAATCGTCCTCGGCGTGCACCCCACATACAGCACACCAACACCGCACCAGCCGTGCAGAAGGGCATGGCACCTACTGCTGCGCATCATCATCGCCATCGCCGACGTCGGCCAGACAAACTTGACCGATGGCGACAGAGCACCGGTTGAAAGCCGGAAAATGTAGCGCCTTCGTCAGGAAGTCTGCCGGCTGCTCAGTGGTTGGGATGTACTTCAGCACGAACTTCCCGCGCCTCACCATGTGATACAGCCAGGAATAGCGTTGCTCCATGTGCTTGAGGTTGCCCGTCAGCCCCAAGCCCTCAGCGACCGTGATTGCCGACTTGTTGTCCACACGGAGGACAGTCGGCTTCCCAGCATCAAGCTGCTTGAACTCTGCAAGGAGGAAACGAAGTCGACGCCCCTCCTTGCCAGCGTCCGTGGCCGCGACGTACTCCGACTCGGTCGAGGAGAGAGTCGTGCACTTGATGCGCGAGCTCGACCAGGAGACAACGGTCCCTCCGTAGATGAACACGTAGCTGCACGTGCTTGTCCCCATAGCCTATCAACTTCAGCGACTCTGGTCCACCGCCGAACTCCTGGGCGGAGTCGCTGGTGTCGGCGAGGTAGGCGAGGCAGCGGCCGATGACGCGCCAATGCTGATCGCTCCTCACCGTAAGGCCACTCCCCAGCTTGCTGCAGGCGAAGGCAATGTCCGGCCTCGTCGTCGTCGCCACGAACTGCAGCGAGCCAACTGTGAGAGTACGAGAGCTTATGCTGGCTTTGCTAGCTTGCCTAGACTTTATTACGCTATATCTAGCTTGGGTTTTATTTATCATTCATAAATATGCTTCATTTCCTAGGTTAGGTGCATCCTTATATTTTATTATAGTTATAGCACCGAACCAGGTTACGTGTACCGAACTCAAGCCTATTCGGTTTCCACCGAATTGCTTTCTACTGAGTTCGGGAAGGCTCTGTTCGAGGCGCTTCGTGACCCTCAGAACATTCGCGTAACACCTGGGTAAATGGCCTTGTGTCGAGACTATATGTAGCCTCGTGTTGTACCCAGGTGAATCATTCAATTCACAATTCTCTTTCCTGAGCTCGATCCTAGATCCTCACACCAACCTTCTGCCGGTATGTGAGAATTGAAACGAGAATGAGTGCACTAAGGAATGGAATGTGGTACAAATATGCAACCCTAGAAATGTGTACCCCATATAGGCTACCCCACTACAGCCTACAGAACATTATGATTTGACACACCCCCATAGGCAAAGTGGGGGAGAACAAGGGGTCACAAGACCAGTCAATCAGAACAAAACAAAGCTCAGGGTGGATCACAAAGTCACCACACATTCCGAGCACAAGTTCAAGGCCGGAAGGCCAGTTCACATGCAGGAGCACACACACACACACACACATATATATATATATATATATATAAGGCTAAACAAGCAAGTGCAGGAGTATATATATGTGACAGTACAAGCAAGGTCAAGAAGTGAGCAAGTGAGGCAAGGCAGGCACAAGACCAAGCTGAGTATAGAAGCGCTGATGATGACAAGGCGCAAGTGCCTTAGTGAAGATATCAGCAGTGTTGGCCTCAGAGGCCACGTACGCAAGTCGCAACTGACCACGCTGCTGCAGCTCACGAGCAAGAAAGTAGCGGAGAGCAATGTGCTTCGTTCTGTGCTCCAGGCGCTGCTCCCGACACAAGGCCAGCATGGCCTTGTTGTCTACGTACAGCACTGGAGGAGAACGAGGCGGCTCTCCGAGGTCAGTCAGCGGGTAGGTGAGCCAGCGAAGCTCCTGAGCAACCATGGCTCCTACGTAGATCTCAGCCTCACAACTGGAGCCGAGAACGGAAGACGAGCGAGTAGCCCTCCACGAAACAGAGCCGGAACCAAGGCTGAAGGTGTAACCCTGTGACGACCGCTGCGTAGCCTGGTCGTCAGCCCAAGAAGCGTCTGCGTGCCCAGTGAGGACCACTGGACTCTGCCCTCCAAGCACTAGCCCCATGCCCGACGTACTGCACAAGTAGCGCAACACCCTCTTCGCTGCAGCCATGTGGTCCGGTCTGTGTCTCCCAGGAGCAACATAGCGTGCAAGAATGCTAGGAGGGTATGCAAGGTCAGGTCGTGTGCAGGTCATCAGGTACATGAGACAACCAACAAGCTCTGGGTACGGGCCACTCGACTCTATGGACTCATCCGAAGGCAGAGCTGAGAGCGAGTGGCGAGTAGGCAGAGGAGTGGCCTGAGGCGAGGAGTACGTGAAGCCGAAGCGCTGAAGGACGTGCTGCACCATGTGTGACTGAGTCAGGGTAATGGTGCGGCGTGCTCTCTCTCGGGTGATCTGCAAGCCAAGGTAGCTGCGCAGTTCACCCAGGTCTGTGCACGTGTGTCTCTTCTGCAGCTCGGACTTCACGTGGGCGAGTCCAGCAGTGTCAGCAGTGGCAAAGACCAAGTCGTCGACGTACACGAGGATGTAGAACGGCGGCAAAGAGGTGTCGGTGCGCAGAAACAGCGACGGGTCGGCAGTAGAGGGAGCAAACCCAAGAGCCGCAAGCGTAGTCCTCGGTGTGTCGTGCCACTCACGCGGTGCCTGGCGGAGACCGTAGACTGGCCGCCGGAGGCTCCACTGGGTGCCGGGAGGAAAAGTCCCAGTGAAGCCAGGTGGGCGGCGCAGCCAGATCTCCTCGTGAAGGCTACCCTGCAAGAAAGCAGTGCTGAAGTCAAGAGAGTGAAGCTCGTAGTCGCGCTGAGCGGCTATGTGCAGCAGCACCCAAAGAGTGGTCATCTTCGGGGTGGGAGAGAAGGTATGAAAGTAGTCAACTCCGTGCCGTTGACTGAAGCCACGAGCCACGTACCGCGCCTTGAAGACAGGTGGAGAACCTGGCGGTCGCTTCACCCTGAAGATCCACATGCCACTGAGGATGTTCGCCCCAGGTGGGGGAACCGCGTCAACGTAGGTGCCTATGGACTTCCAGGAAGCCATCTCTGCATCCATAGCTGCCTGCCACTGAGAGGAGTAGGGACCCTCTACGGCCTCCGCGTAAGAGCGCGGAGTCGGGATGTCAAGTGCATCTGGGTCTCCCTCAGGGGTAAGCACTACGGACACGAGATGAGGTGAAGCAGCAGCCAGACACTGGAACTCCTCCTGCCTGTCCTCAAGGACGTCCGTGCCAAGGGCACACTCACCCCCGACGGACGGAGGACAGACAGACTCAGTCTCAACGACAAGACTAGCAGCGTAGTCTAGACGACAGCGAGCAGCAAAGTCGACGAGCTCAGCAACTAGGGCAGACGCAGCAGTGGACTCAAAAGAAGGGTCAGTGACGACAGTAGCAAGGAGACGCGTGACAGTAGGACTGGCAGCACGAAGAGAGTCCGACTCCGGGTCGGCAAGAGCAGGAAGAGAAGACTCAGGAGGAGAAGGCAAAGGGGCACGCAGAGGAGCAATGGACGAACGCAGAGACATCCGGTGCGTGCCAGGGACAGGAGGAGGACGCTGACGCGAACTGCGACCACTAGTGCGAGCAGCACGGACAGGCGACGCAGGGCGAGACGCAGGCTCACGACGCTCAGCAAGACCTCCAGTAGGACCAGTGTAGGGAGACGGAGCAGGCAGTGGGGAGGCTGGCTGTAACTGTAACTGCGACGGGACAGGCTGTGGACACTCTAAGGGAGGAGGAGGACCAGTAGAAGACGGGAGACCAAGAACCTGCTGAAGGAGCGGAACGAAGTACGGCCGAGGCCGCGCGGCGACTCCAGACACAGCAGGGACAGCACCAGCACCCCCAGTGGCAGCACCAGCACCAGTAGCAGCTCCAGCTCCAGTACCTCCAGCAGCACCAGTAGTACCCCCAGCAGGACCGCCTCCAGGACCGACAGCAGGAGCCTCCGCTCCAACACCCGCAGCAGCTCCAGCTCCAGAAGTACCCGCAGGCCCAGCAGCTCCAGTACTCCCAGTACAAGCACCTCCGAGACCTGTGGCACCAGCTCCCTCAGTAGCAACAGAACCTCCAGTATCCACAGCACCTCCAGCTCCAGCAGCTCACCTCCAGCGCCGGGCAAACCACTCACGCAGCTCAAGATCATAGATGGCAAAAAGGATACCATCAAAATCAAGATCATAGATGGCAACTCCCGCCCTAGACAGCTCGCCCCAGCGAGGGATCTCTGTGGCCTCCGGGAACTGGTGACGCCACGCGTCCGTCAGGCGGCCAAAGCAGCACTGGGTGGGGTGCGCACCCCCACACTGCTCACCCGCACGGTCGCCGGTGCGCAGGACGTAGGTGCACAGACCAAAGCCCCCACCCCGCTGGCGTGCAGTCTACCACTCACGGAGCTGCTGAGGGGACAAGGTCTCACGACCGCGCTGCTGCTGCTGGCGCGGACCACCACCGGAGCCACTCCTCTGCGTAGACCCGCGACCAGCTCCACCGCCACCCCCGCCGCCTCCGCCGCCTCCGCCGCCTCCGCTACTACCGCCGCCTCCACCGCCTCCTCCACCGCCACCACCTCCGCCACCTCCGCTCCCACCGCCACCGCCGCCGCCGCCTCCGCCTCCACTGCCGCCACCGACACCTCCACCCCCACCTCCACTCCCACCGCCACCCCCACTCCCCCCGCCGCCTCCACCTCCACCTCCACCGCCCCCGCTCGCTCCTCCAGTGCCCCTGCCCCCCTTGCCCCTGCCAGAGCGGCGTCTCCCGCTAGGGGCAGACGCCGCACCGACCGACTCAAGACCAAGGAGGTCGGCCGCAGCAGCAGAGGCAACAGAGGGCAGAAGGGGGGAGGGGGAACACCCCTCAAAGATGGGGGTGCGCGGGTCACCACGAGAGGCCCCTACAGCGACTATGCTCTTCTCGGCCGCTAGGAGGGACTTCTCGAGGAGGTCAACAGTGAGAGTGGTGGGACAGACTGAGAGGAAGTGGTCCCTGACTACGCGAAGGGAGTCAGGGAGGCGATTGACTATGTAGTAGAGAGTGATGTACATGGGGGGGGGGGTTCTTGGCGCAGAAGTCAGCAGGAAGCGCAGCGCGGTAGCGAGTGTCACTAGTGCGGAGGTGCGTAATGAGGTCAGTGACTGTGGGAAAGGCAGCAACGTCAGGGAAGAGGCACGGTAGCATGAGACGGCTCAGTGCAGCAGTGGCAGGGGAGGAGTAGCGTGCAACTACAGCGTTGTACAAGGTCTGAGCACTCTTGTACTGACTAAAGTGCGCACGCTCAGAGGTAGGGAGGTGGCGACGCACAGCAAGACGTGCAGCAGCATCGCGCGTGGCCCACTGTGAGCGAACAGTGGCGTCAGCATCAGCAGCAGGAGCATGAGAGGCACCAGAGGTGAGGTCAAAGAGGGAGAGACCGTCTGCCCTATCGCACTGTAAGAACAGCTGCAGGTCATCTACCCAGACGTCAAAGTCAATGGCTCGACCCTCGGCGTCAAAAGCGAGGACACTAGGGGTAGCCATGACAACAGTAGACTAGCAGCGCTGACTGTAGAGCAGGGGCAGTGCGGTGACAGAGGCGCTGCGCTCACCAGACAGGGCGGTTCGGGCAGCTCGGGCGGCTCGGCAGCAATTGCGGCTCGGCGGCACCCGCGGCTCGGCTCCTCAGCTGCTCAGGCGGCTCGGGCGGCTCGGGCGGCTCGGGCGGCTCGGGCGGCTCGGGCGGCTCGGGCGGCTCGGGCGGCTCGGGTGGCTCGGGCGGCTCGGGTGGCTCGGGCGGCTCGGCTGCGTAGGCGGTTCGGGCGGGGCCGTAGGTAGGGCGATGGGGCCGGGTCGAAGGTAGGGCGACGGGGCCAGTGCGCATGTAGGGCGACGGGGCCGGGGCCGGGGCGCAGGTAGGGCGACAGGGCCGGGTCGAAGGTAGGGCGACGGGGCCGGGGCCGGGGCCGGGCCGTAGGTAGGGTGGCGGGGCCGGGGCCGGGCCGTAGGTAGGGCGACGGGGCCGGGTCGAAGGTAGGGCGACGGGGCCGGGCCGTAGGCAGGGCGACGGGGCCGGGGCCGGGCCGTAGGTAGGGCGACGGGGCCGGGTCGACGGTAGGGCGACGGGGCTGGTGCGCAGGTAGGGCGACGGGGCCGGGGCCGAGGCGCAGGTAGGGCGACGGGGCTAGGGCCGGGGCCGCAGGTATGGCGACGGGGCCAGGGTCGCAAGGGGGGGGGGGCGACGGGGCCGGGGTCGCAGGTAGGGCGACGGGGCCGGGGCGCAGGTAGGGCGACGGGGCCGGGGCGCGGGTAGGGCGACGGGGCCGAGGCGCAGGTAGGGCGACGGGGCCGGGGAGCAGGTAGGGCGACGGGGCCGGGGTCGTAGGTAGGGCGACGGGGTCGCTAGGGCGACGAATCAGGGGCCGCTAAGGCGGCGCGACTTGGCCGCTAGGGCGGCTCGACGAAGTCAGAGAAGGGAGCGCGACTCGAGCAGAGCGCGCTCCGGGCAGGAAAATAACAAAACTTTCGACTTGGTGGGCCCTAGGCACAGTTCCCACGAGGGAACCTGCTCGATACCATGTGAGAATTGAAACGAGAATGAGTGCACTAAGGAATGGAATGTGGTACAAATATGCAACCCTAAAAATGTGTACCCCAAATATAGACTTTATTACGCTATATCTAGCTTGGGTTTTATTTATCATTCGTAAATATGCTTCATTTCCTAGGTTAGGTGCATCCTTATATTTTATTATAGTTATAGCACCGAACCAGGTTACGTGTACCGAACTCAAGCCTATTCGGTTTCCACCGAATTGCTTTCTACTGAGTTCGGGAAGGCTCTGTTCGAGGCGCTTCGTGACCCTCAGAACATTCGCGCAACACCTGGGTAAATGGCCTTGTGTCGAGACTATATGTAGCCTCGTGTTGTACCCAGGTGAATCATTCAATTCACAATTCTCTTTCCTGAGCTCGATCCTAGATCCTCACACCAACCTTCTGCCGGTACTCCTCCTCCTCGCGCTCCTGTGCCTCCTTGTCATCGAATGTCAGCTCGGTGTAGGCGTCGACCAAGACCGGCGTCTTCGGGACTCGGCCGCGGTGCTCCTCGTTGATGAAGCGCCTGCGCAGCTTGTTGGCGTAGTTCTGCTGGTGCAGCCACAGCTTCCTCGCTGGCCTATCGCGCACGATCTCCAGCCCGAGGTACTTGACGACCGGCGAAATCTTGTGCAGCTCAAAGGCAGCCTCCAGCAGCTCCTTCGGCTCCTTCAGCATCGCGGTGCTACTGCTGGCGGCGAGCAGGTCGTCGACGTAGACCAGCACCCAGCAGGTCACTCCGTCGTCGCCGACCTTGAAATAGAGCGTCGTGTCGACCTGGCTCTTCTTTCAACCAGCGCCTAGCAGCACACTGTCGAGAGCCTTGTACAACAGCAGTGACGACTACTTTAGCCCGTAGAGGCTCTTCAGCAGCTTACACATCCGGCCGGTCCCATCCTCGAAGTAGTCTGGCTGGTAAATGTAGAGCACCTCATCGAGCTTGCTCTGCAGGAAAGCTTTCTTCATGTCGAGCTGCATCAGGTTGAGGTCGAGGACGGCGATGATGCTGGGGAAGATCCTCAGCGTGACGTAGATGCTCACCGACGAGTAGATCTTGTCGTAGTCGGCGCCGTACACCCGCGTGAAGCCCTTCACGACCAGCCTCGCCTTCTCGCGCTCGACGATGTCGTCGATGCGGTACTTGGTCGTGAACACCCACCGGATCTTCATGATGTTCACCCCACGTGGGCGTTCAACCAGCTCCCAAGTGCCCATGCCGATGAGGCTGCGAATCTCCACTTCCATGGCGGGGTTCAGCACCTTGCCCTTCTAGCTCGCCAGCGCCTCCTTCACCGTCATTGTGTCGATGTTTCGGCGGTGTTCGGGGTCGGGATGCACGTCGGGGTCGAGCTCCGGCAGTTCTTCATCCTTCTCGGCGTCGTCGTATAACAGGCCGTCGTCGACCTCGTTGTACACTGTGGTGAAGGCAGCTGGCAGTAGGCAGGCGTGGAAGCTCAACCGCTCCGGCGGTTGGCGAGCTCGACCTGTGCGTCACAGCTCATGCTTCATGATTGGCACCTCCACCACGTCACTGTCGATTGACTCTTCTCCTGCCGACAGCTCCCCTTCCTCGTCGACGTCCACGACGTCGACCAGCTGCTTCGACCCCTTCGACCGGCTGCTCACCTCCTGCTGACTTTGACATCTCCCATGTCGACCGCCCCGTCTGTTGCTCCCCTGTCGACTGCACCCCTGCTGCTGCCTCCTGTTCGACCGGCTCCCCTGTCTGCTGCTGCTACCCTATCGTTGACGGCTTTCTATCCTGGTTGACGAGCTTGACGCCTTGTCGACCGTCGGCAATGCCACTGACCGGCACCACAGGCGACGCCTCAAGGCTCCCCTCATCGCTAGTGGCCGAAACAGGCGTCGACGCAGGCCGATCTGCGACGGGGGAGGGAGGAGCAAGAATAGGGGGAGGTGGAAGAACCTCCACAACATCCTCATCAGCAGGGTTGTCGACTTCGGCGAGCAGTGGAACCGTCGCCGTTGAGGTGTCCGTCGGCGGGTGTGCCTGCGTCCGCCCCGACGTCGGCCCATACTTCGCCTTCCACACCTCTAGCGACAGCGTCTCGTAGTCGACCGACGTGACCACCTTGTTGTCGATTAGGTCGAGCACCTCGGGGAGGGCTCTAAGGGAGCGGGGCGGCTGCACAAGGATAGGGAGCAACCCAGCCACCCTGGGGGCCGTGAGCCGTATGGTTCCTTATGGGTTGGGGTAGTCGCTAGGCCCTTGTCTTGCTTCTCTTCGCATGCATGTATTGCCTGGTTGTACCCCGTATATTATTAATGAAGGAATGCTTGAGAGAGAGAGAGAGAGAGAGAGAGAGAGAGAGAGAGAGAGAGAGAGAGAGAGAGAGAGAGAGAGAGCGAGAGAGAGAGAGAGGGAGAGAGAGAGAGAGAGAGAGAGAGAGAGAGGAGAGGGAGGGAAGTCAAAAGGAGGGCACGCAAGGCCACGTTGTGGTCACTTGACCATGCGGAAAGACTCACACCCGCACCTTGGTTGGTGGATTGGAAAAAAAAAAAAAAAAATCGTATAATGTGGATGCTATGGGCGACCAATGGTTATTCGAATGGGTCAATAAGCACACATTCATCGCATGCACAGGCATTTCATGCACGAAGGCTGGAGATCATATCCATAAGAACCTCATTTCGCATTCTTGATCCATTGTCACTCCGCAAACATGCAGAGGCAAGACGCCATGAGGTGTTAGACGACGACGATCCGTACGAATTCGCCGTCACAGACAAGACCGTCACGCAAATGCGCGGGCGGCTACGCGCAACCCTTGCATGTTGGATCTCGTGGTGCCCAAGTAGCCTCATCTTCTCGGTCATCGCCAACGGCTACTGGCTACTATGGAGCCAAAACCCTCCACAACCGTTTCACGAGCGCAACCATCTCGGGGCGCACACACACGCGGCATTCACACGCACTGCAATTCGCGAACTGACGGAGACCGGAGTGGCGGTAGCTACCCAAGCAGCGGAACTCACATGCATAAGCCCACTCAATGTGGTCGAGCAATGTGACAAGTGCAGGCTTATTCTCGACCTCCGGAAAGTGAACGCGCACCTGATAATCCCCAGATTCAAATACGAAGGACTGAGCCGCGTTGCCGACCTTGCACGCATAGGAGACTGGATGTTCTCCATCGACCTCAAAACTGGATACCATCACATCGACATACACCACTCTTGCTGGAAATTCCTTGGCTTCGAATTCGAGGGGAGCACGTACTCTTTTCGCTCATTGCCATTCGGCCTCGCGACAGCACCATTTGTCTTCACACAACTCATCAAACAACTAGCCAGGCGCTGGCATGAAAAAGACATTCGAGTGGTACCATATGTGGACGACATCCTGTTTTTATGCACGTCCAAGGCACAGGCACAAGCAACGTGCCAGATGATAATCTTGGACCTCAAGATGGCGGGCCTGGTGATCAACGCGAAAAAGCCGCAGCTGTCACCATCACAACACCTGCGATTCTTGGGCGTCGAGCTGGATACCGACTCCGGACAATTCTCCATTGGCACCGATCGACGAGCATCATTTCATGCACACATTCTCAATCTACTGGGCACAAGCAAAGCACGTTGACAACTTCCAGTCCACCACCTGGCTAGAATCACTGGCACGCTCGCGTCAATGGCTGTCGCGTTAGGGGCCACGATGCGCGCATTCAGCCACGCCATGCTACAAGGGATCAACGACGCGCCATCTTGGGGAAGTAGTGTGAGCATTTCCCCACCTGTGGCCAAGGAGCTGCAATTATGGCTCGAGGAGTTTGACAGATTCAATGGCGCACCATTCCACGTCCGGAATAGTTACGACGCAGTAATCCACGTGGACGCCAGTTCCCACAGTTGGGGTACCACTCTGCTTTCCTTCCCGGGCGAACTCGAAGAAGCCAGTGCAGCCATGCCAGATGCACTGCACGCAACGTCCAGCACCCGACGGGAAATCGAAGGTGTCCTTTGGGCCCTCCAAACGTACGGGAACAAGATCTAACAAAAACACGTGCTTGTGAGGGTGGACAAGCAAGGGGTTTTCTTCATCCTTCGCAAAGGCGGTTCCGGCACCCCCGACCTGACCAGCACCTGCAAGGACATCATTCGCACGTGCATGGAGCTCGGCACTCGACTAATCGTCGAATGGATCCCGCGCGAGCTTAACTCCCATGCTGACGATCTGTCGAAACTAATCGACCATGACGATTACTCATTGAAGCAACCATGGTTCCGAATCCTTGATCGCCATTGGGGACCCCCACTCAATCGATCTCTTCGCGAACTATCGAAACTCGCATATGCCACGATTCTGCTCAAAGATCTCCCACCCTGAGGCTACTGCGGTTGATGCATTCTCATGCTCATGGGCAACCGAGAATGGCTTCGCGTTCCCACCACCCCAGCTGATCCCAGCAGTCATCCACCACACACAACGCACCCACGCATCATTCACCCTAATTGCCCCACACTGGACGGGGGCAAACTGGTGGCCACTCCTACAACCCTCCCCACCAAACTGGGCCCCGCACATCAGAGCGCACATTCCCCTGACGCACGGCAGCCAATGCCTAGCAGTAGGAACGCACCGCACTGCCTTTTCAGGCACAGGACTGCCGCATAGCACAATCATTGCACTACGAGTGGTCTTCAACTAACCCACCTCATATGCCTTTGTGCAGACGTGTTGCCAAAACTACAAGTCCAGCTTCTAAAGATGCTCTCACAATCTCGGGCCGATTCAATGATCCGAACATACGAGTCATACTGGGTCAAGTTTCGAGCCTTTTGTGCAAAGGTGAACCTCCCATTCCTCCCCACGGCGGACATGACCCTCGCGCTGTACCTGGTGTACGCTATCCAGCACAAAGCCACCTTGTCCATGGTACAACTCACATGCTCAGCCGTGAGCTTTGCACACCGCATGACCGGGAGCATATGCCCAACAACCGGACCATTCACCACCCAAGTACGCGACTTCGCAAAAAGACACTGCCCTCGCCCCACGCGAGTGAAGGAGCCTGTCTCGCTGCAACAAGTCCACGACATGTCTGCCAGCTATCTGCAATCCGACAACCCCGGGGAGTTCCAAAAAGGGCTAATCCCCATCCTCATGTACACCGGATGTTTTAGATATTCGGACCTCATCGTCATCGAGTGGCAAGACATTCAGTTCGAGAACGAGGTCATGTGGATTTTGATTCCGTACTCCAAGACGGACCAAGCTGGAAGGGGCACATGGATACCCATCGCTCCAACTCATGATCCCTTTTGCCCCGAATGCTGCACCCGACGACTCATCCAGCTCGCGGGATACGACCGGTAGCCGGCAGGGCCACATATTCGAATCTTTGGACGCGGTTCACCCCAAAGTGGCCAAGCAAGGCCGCCATCATACCCGTCAGAATATCATCATTGTCTAGTCTGCAGTGGGGTACTCTTTTGTGAGTTCAACCCAAATTAGGGTTTGCTATATGTACTGCCCTACTTACTAGTGAACCTCTCCTTTTCTCATTTCTGTTCCTGCCTGCTCTTTCTGACACGACGATCCGAAACTGGTGCAAAGAAGCGTTCGGGAAGATCGGATTAGGGGAACAGCAGGCTGGTACTCACTCCTTTCGCAAAAGAGCAGCCACTGCTGCGGCAAACACAAGTGTGCCAGACAGAATCTTCAAACGACTGGGCAGATGGCGCAGCGACACAGCGAAGGAGGTGTACGTCACGCCCAACGCCGAACATCTCGTCAATGCCTCCCGTCAGTTGCAAGATCTGACATACGCCCCTTCTTCAGCGCAGCACGCGAGGCACTCGTCCGTCATCGAAAGCCCCCGCTGCCCATGTCTCAGAGACCCCAGTTGAAATGAGAACGATGCCAAATGATAAGTATAAGAAAGCAAGCTTTCTAAATATGATAATTCTTAAACACACAAAGTGTTTTTTTTAAATTACGTATTTTGAAAGCGCAACTGCCTGTAACGCAGATTTGGCATCGTCGAAGCGCGCTATACGCCCTTCTCCAACTACAAATCGTGGGTTGGAGCTCATTTCCCTCCACCCACGTCTCTCATTTTTCAAATGGCTCATGCAACTCTCCCACCCCCCGCCCCAACACCGAGGACATCAGTGCCGCCGCTTGAACAGGAGGACAGATAGTTAATACTATGATTGGTAGTACGCACGTATAATGCGTGATAGCTAGTACAATGATTGAGAGGTAGTAACATGACATGTACTAGCACCTATATTGTCTAGCTCGAGTGCATGTTGTACGGTAATTTGCCAGTTGAAATGAGAACGATGTCAAATGATAAGTATAAGAAAGCAAGCTTTCTAAATTTGAAACGTCAGCCCTGGAACGACGGTACCGTCTCCCCCCGGATATAAGCGCCACCCTAGGATAAGCGCCTGGCGCTTCTAATTGGCATATGGCGCTTATATCCCCTCCTCGATTATAAGCGCACCCCTTGAAAAAACTTGTTTTATTATAAGCGCACGTAAACTTTAAAATTTGAAATGTGTTCAAAAAGCTGTAACGATTTTTACTTTAGCAGGCGGATATGTTGCAGATTCGGTTCCCTTCACATTCGGACCCTGCACTGGATGCGGGTCCAGTCAGCAGGACCTGTCAGGAGCTGGATGTGAGTCAGATTGGGTGTATCTCCCAGCGCGCGCGAGAATTTCACAGACGATCCCATGTAACTTCGACTCGATTGAAAAGGCAAGCACGAGACCTACAGTTTGGTGTTAAAAGATATAAAAAAATATGTATGTCATTTTATAAACGCCGGCGCTTATAAATTTACTCGATTATAAGCCCACCCCCATGAAAAAACCTGTTTTATTATTGCCCCCCATGGGGGTATATCCGGGGGGAGACGGTATCGTTCCAGCTCTTTTGCCTTGTACAATGGTGGTGGTAACATGTACAGTATTGCAACATTACGGTACATACCGGTACTGGTCCCTGAAAACAACATGCGTTATTCTTGTTAGCAATATTTTGTTATCTTCACGAGCTAATCAGGAACAACGATCCTACGGTAAATCTATACTCCACTGCACACCCTGTCAACGTAAAACTCGTTTCCCACAGCTGTTTTCTACTCTCTGCTTACCCCCCTGGGGTGGGGTGGGGACCAATTCCAACCTCAGAACCTCCACTTCTAGTAAAGCCCCCCTTTTCCAAACCAGTCATTGAAGCCTCCACTGTGCGTTTCCACCAAAGCCCCCACCCGACCCACATCAAAACATAGCACACGCTTCACTCAGCCCCACCAGCCCTGCCCATAACCCACCCAACCCACCCTCAGGCTGCACTCCACCCACCCATACCCACACACTCACCCCTGCCTCCAGGCTGCATCCATGTTGCATCGCTCCAGCAGCAATTACAGTACTATAATTTCATTGTGTACACCCACAGAGCCACTGTATCATACATGCACCAGTCCATAAAAACAACAGTCAGTCTGACGGACGACGCGCCTCCCCTTCCCCCCCCCTTCTTCCCCACCCTCCCCCCACCCTTCTCCATCCTTCTCCCTTTTCCTCCCCCCCTCCCCTGCTCCCTCTCCCCTTTCTCCACCCCTCTCACTCCGTCGCCTCAGCAGCTGCATAGACTCATCATACACCCACTGGTGTATCACATCGGCTGCCCCTCTTCTGTCACCCCTCTGTGCCTCCCTACCAGCTCCATACCCCACACGACGCCTCCCTCCCACTTGCACCTCTCTCACTCATCCCCTCAGCAGCTGCATAGACCCATCATACACCCACTGGTGTGATTTTTAAGGCGCCTAAAAAATCACCTCAAAAGCTGTATAGACGCATCATACAACCCACTGGCGTGGTGCTTCACGTCAACCGCCCCGCTCCTGTCACCCCTGTGTGGCTGCATGCTGATCTCTCCCTGTACCACACCTCCCCTTCCGCACCTCTCCCCTCCTCTTCTAACTCACTCCCCCCCCTCCCCCCCCTCCCCCCCATGTATTCATCATTTCAACGGCTCCATAGATTCATCATACACTGACCGGTGTGTCATCACATCGGCTGCCCCTCTTCTGTCATTCCTCCAGCTGCCCCTCACCACCTCACTCTCCTCCTCCTCATCCTCCTCATCCTCCCCATCCCCTCGGAACATGTTCTCGCTCTCCTCCCCAGTCGGGCTTGTGATGGGGGACAGAGAGGGAGAGCTCTGCATGCGTCTAAGCGACTTGCGCTGCTGCTGTTGCTGCTGCTGCAGCTGTTGCTGCTGGGGATGGGAGGGCACGTGTGAGTGGGACGGCGAGCGCGAGTGTGACTGTAAAGGGGGTCGGTCGGCAGAGTGCAGCGGAGGGGTGGTGCCACTGCTGCTGGATTTCCTCACGGCGCGGGGGACAGGCGGAGGTGAGCTGGAGACGACCTGAAGTGGAAGAGAAGGAGGGGAGGGGCAGAAAGCGGTGAGGGGAAGACAGAGGGGGGTGGTGCCGCTGCTGCTGGATTTCCTCACGGCGCGGGGGACAGGCGGAGGTGAGCTGGAGGCAACCTGCAAGGAAATAGAGGGATGGTCGAGAGTGGCAGGGCAAGGAAATGAGATAAAGCGAGAATTAGATAAAGGGGTGGTGCCGCTGCTGCTGGATTTCTTTACGGCTCGTGGGACGGGCAGAGGTGAGCTGGAGACGACCAGGAGGGGGAAGAGGGGGGAGGGGCAACAATAAGTGAGGGGAGGCCAGAGGGGTGGTGCCACTGCTGCTAGATTTCTTTACAGCTCGTGGGACGGGCTGAGGTGAGCTGGAGACGACTTGAAGGGGAAATGAAGGGAGAGGGGAGGGGCAACAACAGGTGAGAGGAAAAATGAGTGGTGGCGCAAACACTGCTCAAGTTGGAGGGGAATAGAGGGAGGGAAGTGCAGCAGCAGGTATGTAATACGGGGCTAAATGGCTGGAAAGTGGACGGGAAAGTGTTGACCCAAAAAAGAAAGGCCCAAGTATTCACCTGACACAAAGCCATTCATCCATCTCACCTGCGACAGCCATTCATCCATCTCACCTGCGACAGCCATTCATCTCACCTGCGACAGCCATTCATCCATCTCACCTGCGACAGCCATTCATCCATCTCACCTGCGACAGCCATTCGTCCATCTCACCTGCGACAGCCATTCATCCATCCCACCTGCGACAGCCATTCATCCATCCCACCTGCGACAGCCATTCATCCATCCCACCTGCGACAGCCATTCATCCATCTCACCTGCGACAGTCATTCGTCCATCTCACCTGCGACAGCCATTCATCCATCTTGGGGTTACTGGCCCGCTCAATCCACATGCGCATGTCCTGTGCTGCCCGCTGCTCCGACCCCGTCCTGGGCTGCCTGCCCCCACCAGCACTCAGCGACCCCGGGTCCATGCTCGTGCTGCGCCACAGGGGGGACATAGACTGCGCCCTCTGCACCCCTCCTCCCCCTAACCCTCCCCCTCCCCCGACACTCCCCCCGCGGCCCAGGATTTTCCCAGCAGTGCCCCCCATGCGATTAGAAAGTTCTCCGCTTGTGCGCGGGCGGCTGTCTGTGAGAGATCGCATGGCTTCCATCGGGGACCCCAGCGAGGATTTTCTTTGCTGCCCGTCTGACCCAGCGGCGCTTCTTTCCTGCCCGCTGTCTGCTGCAGCCACAGAGGAAGCTCTGCCGCTCTCTCGCTGTTCCGCCAACGGGCTTCTACTGCTGCCATTGCCACTGCTGCCGCTGTAGGGGCTGCTGCTGTTGACCCGCCGGAGACTACCAGGAGTGCCCAGAGGCCCACCCCTGGATGCGTTCCCAGGAGCGGGGTTGCCTGGCCCAGACCCCCCACCCCTGCCTGCCCCGTAGCTCTCACTCTGCTTCCCCTCACCTGCCCCTCCCACCGCCCGACCCGCCCCCTCTCCTCTACTCTCCCCCACACCTTCCCCCCCACCCCCTCCCCTCCCCCCGCTCCCTCTCCCCAGCCCCGACCCTCCCGGATTCCCCCTCCCCACGCTAGTCCCAACCCCTCCGCCCGCCCCTGCCCCCCCTGCCCGCCCGCCAGGCGCCCCTGCCCCTCCCCCTGGCGCATTCCCCCCAGAGGGCGGAGGCTTCCCCCCTCTCCCGTCGGGTCGGGGTATTCGCCCATGCCTGGGGCTCTCTGGAACGCGCTCCTGCCCGCCTGCGCTCGCCCCCACCTGTGAGTTCTGCCGTGAGTAACTTTCAGACGTGGACACTCGTAAGATGCTCTTCGGAGGGGCGGCCCCCCCTCCCCCCCCCGCTCCCCCTCCTCCCCCTCTCCCTGAGCCTCCCCCCAGCCGTGATCTCTCCTTGGCGTCCTGCCTCGCCATGCCCCACTCTCTACTGTTATTCCACTCTCTACTATTATTCCATTCCCTGCTGCGATCCAGGTCCCGCCCGTCACGAGGAATAGAGACGTCTTTAGAAGACCCAGACGCCTCTCTCGAATTAGTAGCCTCTCGAGCACCACCAGAGGTATTCCGGGAGTCAGCAGTATCCCTGGTGGCATTAGTGGCCTCTCTGTTCCCGGATGCCTCACGAGTGCTCGTCCACTCCCGGCTGTTATTCCACTCCCTACTTTGATCCATTGGGTCACCACTCCCTCTCCTCTCCATTCCTCCTCTCCCACCTCCTCCTCCTCCTCCTCCTCCTCCTCCTCCTCCTCCTCCTCCTCCTCCTCCTCCTCCTCCTCCTCCTCCTCCTCCTCCTCCTCCTCCTCCTCCTCCTCCTCCTCCTCCTCCTCCTCCTCCTCCTCCTCCTCCTCCTCCTCCTCCTCCTCCTCCTCCTCCTCCTCCTCCTCCTCCTCCTCCTCCTCCTCCTCCTCCTCCTCCTCCTCCTCCTCCTCCTCCTCCTCCTCCTCCTCCTCCTCCTCCTCCTCCTCCTCCTCCTCCTCCTCCTCCTCCTCCTCCTCCTCCTCCTCCTCCTCCTCCTCCTCCTCCTCCTCCTCCTCCTCCTCCTCCTCCTCCTCCTCCTCCTCCTCCTCTGCCTCCTCTCTCCCCCGTTCCTCTTCTTTCCATCCCCCCTGGACCTGCCCTTGCCATACCTGCACTTCCTCCCCTCGCTGCCCTGACCCCACCTCCCCTCCCTCCTCCTACCCCACCTCCTCCTCTCCCTCCTCCTCTCCCCACGCCTTCCCCTCTCGGGCTAGCAGCCTGCTCCCTTAGGCTCCTATCGCTACCATTCCTCTCTATTCCTGACCCTCCACTCACACTACCCACTCTCCCACTGCCACTCCTCCCACTCCGCACGCTCCCCCCCACACTTGAACCCCCTCGACTGGACGACGATAATTCACCCTCATCCTCCTCCTCCTCCTCCTCCTCCTCTCCATTCACACTCCCTCCCACCCCTCTCTGGTCCCCCCCACTCCCTCCATGAATCTTAGACCAGATCTGATCCAGGGACGGCCCCTTGTCGTTTTCTGCATGTGATCCGATCCTGCTGTTGCTGCCGCCCATACTGCCGCCCATGCTGCTGCCGCCTTCCCTCTGCTTGCTGCCGCTACCGTAACGGTTATGGCTAGAGTTACTGTTAGTGTTACTGTAGATACTGCTTGCATCATCATCCTCATCATTACTCGTCAGCCCATCCTGATTCGAACTATGCCCACGGCCATTCCCATGCCCATGCCTATTTCCATGGGTACTCCCTCCCTCCCCAACGCTCTCTTCTTCATCCTCCTCCTCATCCTCATCATCACTCTGCAATGGGGTGCCAGCTTCCCACATTCTCTTCTGCGACCCACTTCGAGACAGCCTCCTCTGCCCTCCCTCTCCCCCTCCTCCTCCCTTTCCTTCTCCTCCTCTCACTCTTCCTCCTGCACCACCACCCTCTCCCCCACTCCCCCCGGACCCATCTCTCCTGCCTAGACTCCTCACTTCACCGCCAAAAGACTCCTCCCTCTGCCCCCCTCCGGCCAACCCTCCAGGCCTTCCGCCCAACCTCCCCCCGTTGCCACTGTCTGACCCGCTCGCACCAGCAGGGGAAGCGCGGGCAGCAGCAGAAGAAGCACCAGCAGAGGCAGAAGCAGAAGGGCCAGCGGCATAGGAGCCGCTGCCGGTTCTGCCGGCGAGCCAGCCTTGGGAGAAGCCTCCGTTGGACCCCCCTCCCAGCACCCCCTCCTCGTCCTCCTCGTCGTCACTCTCCACCTGAAGAAACGGGGGGTTGGGGGGGAGCAGTGGAGGGAAGGTGTCTTGAGATAGTGCTGGGGACGGGAGACAGTGGGAAGGGAAGGGAAGTATAAGTCCCCCTCCACCACACCCTCCTCCTCCTCCTCGTCATCACTCTCCACCTGAGGAAGGGGAGAGATGGTGGGGTGGAGGGAGAGAGAATTGTAACGAGAGGGAATGAACATAGGAATGGGCATGGGCATGGGCATGGGCATGTGCATGGGCATGGGCATGGGCATGGAGCGCGAGCGCACGAGAGAGTGCTAATAAGATGTGAGCTGAGGGCTCACGTGGGGAGTGGTGGTGGCTCACCTGGAAGTTCATGTAAGCGATGGACATGGACATGGAGCGCGAGCGGGGCGCGCACAGACAGGGCTGAAAAAGGCTGCCTGGCCGGCAGACACTCATCCCCCTGCCCGTGCAGCTTCCTGGAAGCTGCTGACGTTGCTGCTGGCAAGGCGTCTAGGAACTTCCTTCCTTTCTCCCCCCCCCCTCCTCCTCCTCCTCCTCCTCCTCCTCCTCCTCCTCCTCCTCCTCCTCCTCCTCCTCCTCCTCCTCCTCCTCCTCCTCCTCCTCCTCCTCCTCCTCCTCCTCCTCCTCCTCCTCCTCCTCCTCCTCCTCCTCCTGCTCCTCCTCCTCCTCCTCTCCCACCCCCCTCTCCTCCTCTCTCTCCTCTTCGCATTCTGCCTATTTCAGGCCCCACACCTGACTTCGCCCGAACCAGGGGAGACTTGGCTCGGTGCCGAGCCTCAGGTCCAGCCAAGCCTGCCCCGGGATCAAGAGGGATGGACTCGGCTGACCTGGGCGCGGCAGAGCTGCGAGAGCGAGGGAAGCTGGTGTGAGCCTGAGGGGATGCTGCAAACGCAACTCCACCTCCACCACCACCACCACCAGTATCTCCACCACCACCACCACCAGCACGTCCACCACTGCCAGCAGAAGCAGCAATGCCACCACCTGCACCTCCTCCTCGTCTACCTCCCACCTCTCCCATCCCACCACCCAAGCCACCACCCAAGCTACCACCCAAGCCACCACCCAAGCCACTGCCACCACCCTTGCCACTGCCACCACCCAAGCCACTGCCACCACCCTTGCCACCACTGGCAGCACCGGCAGCACTAGCAGCAGTGGGGCCAGGGGGTGCGGCGGCCCCTCCTCGGGGGCGGGGGCGGCCCCGGGAGGAGTCATCAGAGGCACAGCCTTCCGACTCCGACCCCAGCACATCGTTCCATGACCCAAATGACGGGTACGCTGCCAGACTCTTTCCCCCCCTCCCCCCTGTCGCTCCCCCTCGCCCCCCTCCCCCTCCCCCACCTGCTCCCCCTCCCCCTCCCCCTCCCGTTCCTGTGCTAGTCATTGCTCCCCCTCCCATCCCACTCCTGTCCATCCCACTTGCTGCTCCTCCCATTTCTCCTGCTCTCCCGCCTTCGCCTCCCCCAACCACATCGCCCCTCGATTCCCCCACAGCATCCCTCCCCTGTACCTTCCCGACACCCCTCCCTGGAACAAACTCAACAGTATCCTCCCCTCTCTCTCACTCTCCCCTCCTGCCCCCCTCCCGTCCCGCCCCACACCCTGCTGCCTCTGCTGCTCCTGCTGCCGCTGCTGCTCCTGCTGCTGCAGCAGCAGCTGCCGCTTCGTCTGCTGGTACCTCAGCTGCGGCGACGTGGGCTTTAACTCACCCGTCGGGCTCTTCGCCTGGGTCAAGCTCTCCCTGATCGCCTTCTCAATCTCCCGCGGCCGGATCGGCTTCGATAAATAATAGTCCATCCCAGCAGCCATGCAGCTGTCCTTATCCTCGCTAAGAGCAGACGCAGTAAGCGCGACGATAAACGTCCGGTGCGGCCGCGGGGGCATATGAGCCCTTCGGGGCTGGGAGGGGGAACTAGCCTCACTATCGCTGGCATCGCTTTTATCCACCCAGCTGGCGGCGCTGCCGTAAGGGGAGCCGTTACCACAGGCGGCCATGGCTGCTGTGTACACCTGCAGCCTCTCCACCTCCATCTCCCTGATCTTCCTCGTGGCTTCAAACCCATCCATCTCTGGCATGTGGCAGTCCTGCACAAATGGCAGGGGGAGAGTGGGAGGGGCGGGAAGGAGAGGGGAATGGGTTACCACAGGCGGCCATGGCTGCTGTGTACACCTGCAGCCTCTCCGCTTCCATCTCCCGAATCTTCCTCGTGGCTTCAAACCCGCCCATTTCTGGCATGTGACGGTCCTGGTGGGGGGAATATGGATGGGGGGAGAAGGTAGCGGAGTGGAGAGAGGGGGAGTGGGTGGGCGGGTGTGAAAACTGATAATTTTGGGTTTAGGGGCAGGGAGGGCGGGGGAGCGTGGCTCGGCACGAGGGCAACTTTGTTGCACGGCATGAAGGGCAGCAGCAGATAACAGCAGCAGGGCGACTCACCATGAGCACGACGTCGTAGCAGCGCTCGGAGCACGCGCGCACGGCGAGCTTGCCGTTCTCCACCACGTCGTACTTGAGGCCCAGGTTGTGCAGCATGCGCGTCGCCACCATCTGATTAACCTTGTTGTCCTGCCAGAGGAGTAAGGGGGGAAGCGGTGTGGGGGGGGAAAGTGGGGAGAGAAGGGAATGGGTGGTTTGGGGGGAATGGGGTGAGTAAGCAAACATCTTGTGCTGTCAGCTTCCCATTCTCCGCCACGTCCTACTTCGCTGCAACCATCTCCTACTTCCCATGTTTTTCAGTCGACTAGAAAATTCGCCCACCGCTCTCCTGCAGGTGCTTCCACAGCGGCTGCTCCCTTGGTCTCCTCGCCTCTGATGCCATTACCCCAGCCACTAGCGACCCCAGCGCCGCCAACACCCACTCACCTCGGCAACGAGCACTCTGAGGTCCTGCAGGTGCTTCCACAGCGGCTCCACGTCACTTGTGAGCGACTGCTCCGCCGATGCCGTGGCTGACTGGGCGTCGCGCCTCACCACGCCCACCCGCACGTGGAAGTAAAAGGTGGACCCCACGCCCACCTGGAAAGAGGTAGGGCAAGAAGGGGGGGAGGTAGGGCAAGAAGGGGGGGAGGTAGGGCAAGAAGGGGGGGAGGTAGGGCAAGAAGGGGGGGAGGTAGGGCAAGAAGGGGGGGAGGTAGGGCAAGAAGGGGGGGAGGTAGGGGAAGGGTTAAGAGGTAGGGAAAGGGGTAGAGGTTAGGGTTTTGAGGTGCCCCAGAAAGGCCTCCCTGGGCCACGAGTCACCATCCCCACACACACGTGGCAATCCGGCCCGACCGACCCTAAACCCACCCACCTGGCTGTGCAGGCTGATATCGCCCCCCATGAGGATGCAGAGGCTCTTGCAGATCGCCAGGCACAGCCCCGCGGCTGGATTTGATTGGTCTCAGATCAATAACTAAAGCCAAATAGCCTTGGCCTCAACTCAACTCACTTGCCTGTGCAAGCCCGCCCCATGCCCCTCCCCTTACCTGGCTGTGAAGGCTGATATCGCCCCCCATGAGGTTGCAGAGGCTCTTGCAGATCGCCAGGCCCAGCCCCGTGCCACCGTAGCGGCGGCTGGTGGAGTTGTCAGCCTGGCTTGCCAAGCCAGTTCATATCAAGACTCGGCCCCAACGTACCTGGCTGTGAAGGCTGATATCGCCCCCCATCAAATTGCAGAGGCTCTTGCAGATCGCCAGGCCCAGCCCCGTGCCACCGTAGCGGCGGCTGGTGGAGTTATCGGCCTGCGAGAACGCCTTGAACAGCCGGCTGCGCGCACTCTCGTCCATGCCCACTCCTGTGTCCCGCACCTCAAACCGCACCATCACACTCTCATCCCCCTCGCTCTCACTTTCACTCTCGCTCTCTCCCTCGCTCTCCTCCTCCCTTTCTCCCTCCTTCCCCTTGCCGCCGCCCTTGCTCTGGTTCCCGCTCCTGCTGCCGCTGTTGCTGTTGCCGCCGCCGCCAGCAGCGGCAGTGGTGTTGGTGGCGCCGTCTGTAAGAAGCTTCGGGGTCGCTGCCTGCTCGACCTCTTTGATCTCCTCGTCAGTGGCCAGACGCAGGTCCACTGTGATTCCGCCACTGGGGGGGGAGGGCAGGGGCGCGGAAGGAGGGCAGGGGCGGGGAAGGAGGGAAGGGGCGGGGAAGGCGGGAAGGGGCGGGGAAGGAGGGAAGGGAGGCAAGAGGTGCGAGGGGGGAGGGGAAGAGGTGCGGGGGGAGAGGGGAACAGAGGGGAAAGGGGAGGCGATGAGTCAAAGAGGACGTTCAACAACGAACCCACCTGTTTGCCTCTTTGCAGAACCATCGTTCCTTCCATCCATCTGCTGAGCTGAACACTCCCAGGACACTCCCTTACAGGTGAACCAGGAACCCATAGGAACCCACTCATCCGTGAGCTCAGCTCAACACTCACTTATCAGTGAATTTGATGGAGTTGGAGATGAGGTTCAGCAGCACCTGTCTCAACCGCACTGGATCGCCCACCACTACGGACGGCACCTCTTCAGCGATCTCCAGCTCCAAATACAGCCCCTTGTCCTTCGCCACCACCTCTAGCAGCGCCAGCGCCTCTGTCACCTGCAGCACGGGAGGGAACAAGAGATGGTGAACATGGGATGGGGAGACTGGGAAAAGAGAGACAAGGCCTCTGCTTCATTCATCTCCAGCTCCAGCCTCCAGCCTCCAGCCTCCAGGTACAGCCCCTTGTTCTTCGCCACCACCTCTAGCAGCCCCTCTTGCAGCGCCAGAGCGCCTCCGTCACCTGCAGCACGGGAGTGAAGGAGATAAGAGTCAGGGAGACAACAGACAAGGACCCTGACTACTGAACTCAGAGTTCTCTGACAGCGATGCTTGAAGCTCACCTGCTGCTGGATATTGAACTCTATGTGTTCTAGCGCCAGGTTCTTGGATTCGATCTTGGATAGATCCAGCACATCGGATATAATTCTCAGGAGATTGTCCCCCGAGGAGCGGATGATCTCGAGGTACGAGCGCTGCTCCGCTGTGAGGTCCGTTCCTAATAGCAGCTCCGCCACTCCGATCACACCTGGACGAAAGTTTGAGAGGGGGACGGGCAGTAGAGAGAGATAGGGAAAGGAGAGGACGACCGGATGATCTCGAGGAACGAGCGCTGCTCCGCTGTGAGGTCCGTGCCCAGTAGGAGCTCCGCCACTCCAATCACACCTGGGGGGAATGAATGAGAGAAAACAACGGGGGAAGCACAAGCGAGGGACAAGGGGATGGGAAGGGAGGGATGAGTCTGAGGCATGGTATGAGCTCCTGTGCTACCAGTTACTTTCTCCTGTAGATTTTACTTTTGAGAATTCCCAAAAGTAAAATTCACATACACGGTATGAGCTCCTGTGCTACCAGTTACTTTCTCCTGTACATCGTCAACCAAAACCATCAGGTACGTCCAAGTACAGGCCTCAATTCTTGAGTGCAACACAACACAGCACGCACCGTTCATGGGGGTACGGATCTCGTGGCTCATGTTGGCGAGGAACTGGCTCTTGGCCTGGCTGGCCTTCTCAGCGGCGTCCTTGGCGGCTCTGAGCTCCTCCGCCTGCTGCTTGATCTCGGCCACCTCATGCCACACCACCAAGTACATGGCGTGCTGCTGCTGCACCTCCAGGAACGTCAGCGTCACTTCTATTGGGACTAGAGAGCCGTCGAAACGTTGGTACACCCACTCGAATCTGAGGGGCGGGGAGGAGGGGACGGAAGGGGATAGGAGGGATGGGATGGGAGGGATGAAAGGGAGGGATGAAAGGGAGGAGAGGGGGCGAGTGTTGGCGGCTCTGAGCTCCTCCGCCTGCTGCTTGATCTCGGCCACCTCGTGCCACACCACCAAGTACATGGCGTGCTGCTGCTGCACCTCCAGGAACGTCAAAGTCACTTCTATGGGCACCAACGAGCCGTCAAACCGCTGGTACACCCGCTCAAACCTGACGGAGGATGGGGGGACGGATGGGAGGGGAAAAAGAGTGTAGAACGGATTGGGATTGGAAGAAAATCACAGTGGTGCAATCTACAAATGCCCTTCCTGTCCCCTTCCCTCCCCCCTCCCCACCTCATCTCGTACCCTTCGCCTCACCTTCATTCCCTTCTCCTCACCTTCATTCCCTTCTCCTCACCTTCATTCCCCCCACCCGCCTCCCAGCACCAATCTCACTCACTACTGCAACCACCCCCGCCTCCCCTCCACCCAAACCCCACCCCCCCATCCTTCCCCCCTACGCACTTGTGCATGCCCACCACGTCCCCTCCCACCCACCCCTCCCCTCCTCACGCACTTGTGCATGCCGTGCTGCTCTGCCCTCCGGTCCATGGCTTTAGCCTTCTCTTTGGACAGCTGCCCGTCCGGCTGCTTCAGCGGCGAGAAGAGCGCGGGGTGGTGGCCCAGCAGGCTGGCCTTGTCGGGGCAGCGCAGGCAGCGCACCGCCGCCTCGTTGCACTCGGTGATGCCCGTCTCATCAAACACCAGGTAGCCGTCCTGCAGGGGGGATCCAGAACAAGCGGGCGAATGGAGGAGGAGGGGAGCAGGGGTCGGTGGGGTTGGAACAGCACCTTGTGCCCCCTGCACTCCATGACCCCGTCTCGTGGAGTGCAACAACCCCACCTCACCACCACCTTGTTGCACTCCGTGATCCCCGTCTCGTCACACACCAGATAGTCATCCTGATGGGGGGGGAGGGGGAGGGGGAGGAGGGGTGAGGGAGGAGAAAGGAGGGGTTGGGTGGGAGGAGGGGCGCATGAGTCGGGGGCGTTAAGAAGGCAGCGCAGTCACCTCGCTGCTGCCTCGTTGCACTCCATTATGCCCGTCTCGTCACACACCAGGTAGCTGTTGGTGAAGAACACCAGGCGGAGGGGAGGGGGAGAGAGGAAGGGAAGGGACGGGGTGCGGGAGGCGGGATCATTGGTGTTGGGACAGACAGGGGAGAGGAAACGGCGGGGGAGATGGGTTAGGTGACGGGTATGGGAGAGGGGATGGGAGGGAGTGCGTGGTTAGAGGCAAGAAGAAGGCAGGGTGGCACACACACACACACGTGCGCGCGCGCGCGCACAAACACACAGACCCATACCCATACCGATACCCACAAACACCGAACAAGTCAAAGGCGCACCGAGGAGAAGTCAAAGAGCAGGCGGAACTTCTCCTGCACGATCAGCCGGTCCGTGATGTCACTCACCACCCACAGCTCCCCGCCCCCTCCCCCCTCCGCTGCTCCCCCGGTTATGTCACTGGAAGAGGAAAGATTGCTGCAGTCGCGCCCCACCACCTCCACCCACCGCTGCTCGCCGTCGCTCCGCACCACACGCATGGTGCGCGGATGGGGGAACCCCGCCTTCCTGTCCGCATCCATCACCTTGCGCACCTGCGGAGAAAGCGGGAGAGGGAGAGCGGTTTGCAGAATGATGGGAATAAAATGCTTCTTTCACCCACTGCTGCTCCCCATCGCTCCTCACCACACGCAGAGCATGCAATGCAGCATAGGTGAGGGAAGCCTGCCTTGCGATCTGCATCCATCATCTTGCGCACCTGGGAGGGAGGGTGTGTGGGTGAGTGGGTGGGTGGTGGGGAAACACAGGGTGAGAGGGTGGATTTCCTACCTGCCTTCTCTTCTTATCCTTACTGCTGCTTCCCATGGCCTCTCTCCCCTCACCTCCGCCTCTCTTTCCCGAGCAAGACCCTAGTAGCGCCTGTTCCCACCTAAGCCTCTTTCCCTCCCGGAAGAACAGCGAGAACCAGCCATCTACACTCCCCACCTGCTCCCACGAGAAATGAAGTTGCTTTGAGTCGTCCTAAAAACAGCATCATTATCACCCAGACCTGACGAGTCGGATTTTGAGTCGACTCAAAAACCGGACCAAGTTGCTATGAGTCGTCTTAAAAACAGCATCACTATCACCCGGACCTGACGAGTCGGATTTTGAGTCGACTCAAAAACCGAACGAAGTTGCTTTGAGTCGTCTTAAAAACAGCATCATTATCACATGGACCTGACTCTCCCAAGCAAGGCCCTCAGCCCACCCTGTTCCCCACCTCGGCCTCTCGCTCCCGGAACAGCAGCGAGAACCACTCGTCCACACTCCCCAGCTCCTCCCGCGAGTACCCCACTATCGCCTCCACATGCGCATTCACCAGCACCTCCCCACCCTTTCCCCCCGCTCCCCCTGGCCCCCCCGCTCCCCCCGGCTGCGGCAGCACGTGCACCACGCCCGCAGGTAGATGCTCCAGAATGAAGCGGTGGCGATCTGAGGAGGGCGGCTGGTACGGAGAGACGCAGGGAGAGGAGAGGAGGGGGGGATAGGGGGGAAGGGGGAAGGAGGATTGGCCTGAGGGAGGGATAGGGAGGAGGAAGAGTGGTGAGAGGATTGGTATGGGAGAGGGTGGGACATGGAAATACCACACCATCACACCACATCACACCACACCACATCACACCACACCACATCAGACCACACCGCGCCAGACCACACCGCACCATGGACTTCTAATTATGGAAATTGCAGGCAAAGAGGGGATCAGAATGGCGCCATTCTCCATTGACGGTTCAGGAACTGCATCGCAATGGCAGAATAGTGGATCGAACCAGGCAGGTCACGCACCTTCGCAGTGCTGGCAGCTGCCAGGTCGCAAATCACAGCCATGACCATCGACACATGATTCCCAGTACCACCAGCAGCAGCAGCATCACCACCACCACCCGCTACCCCTGCTCCCACTCCTCCACCAGTGGAAGTTGGAGGGGCGGCCTCGACCGTGATCCGCACAGGACGCAGCTTGCCGCCCGGCAGCACCAGCCGCACGTCGTGCTGGCGCTGCCGCTGCCACGCTGGCGCTGACATGGACGCGCCACGTAGGACGGCGTCAGAGACTGTAGAGAACCACGCCTGGAAGGCTGCCACGTCATCCCGGGCAATAAAATCCTCCATCACCCGCCCCTCCACGGCCCGGGCCGGGCGGCCCAGCATGGCTGCCAGGGCGGCACTGCAGTGCGCCAGCTCAGCGCTGCTCACCCGCAGCGCTGCCAGCGCGACAGAGGCAGAATCAAGCAGCGATCTGATAGGGTGGGTTAGGATGAGGTGGAGTAGGGTGGGGTGGCATGAAGAGAGGCAAGTGACTATTGAGGAACCCCAGGAGTTGAACGCGCCTGGAATGCAGCCACGTCATCCCGGGCTATGAAATCGTCCAGCACGCGCCCCTCCACTGCCCGGGCCGGGCGGCCCAGGGTTACAGGGGGGAGGACAACACAATGGGGGCTGTACAGGGTGGGACAACACAATGGTGGGCAGCACAATGGTGGGCAGCACAATGGTGGGCAGCACAATGGTGGGCAGCACAATGGTGGGCAGCACAATGGTGGGCAGCACAATGGTGGGCAGCACAATGGTGGGCAGCACAATGGTGGGCAGCACAATGGTGGGCAGCACATGCGAGAGGATACAGCGGGGGGGGGCACACGGGGAAGCATACAGTCGATGTGGGGGCATTCCCAAGAGAATTTCCGGAGAAGGGGGTCTGGCAGCCAGTGGAAATCAATGGTGTCTTGCAACCAGTGGTGGTGGGAGAGGAAAGACGGCCGTCCCAGTGAACTCAGGAGTGTGAACTCAGTGAGCATGCAGTGGGGTGGGGGGAAAGCATGCAGTGGGGTGGGGGGAAAGCATGCAGTAGGGTGGGGTGGGGGGGAAAGCATGCAGTGGGGTGGGGGGAAAGCATGCAGTAGGGTGGGGTGGGGGGAAAGCATGCAGTGGGGTGGGGGGAAAGCATGCAGTGGGGTGGGGGGAAAGCATGCAGTGGGGTGGGGTGGGGGGAAAGCATGCAGTGGGGTGGGGGGAAAGCATGCAGTGGGGTGGGGGGAAAGCATGCAGTGGGGTGGGGGGAAAGCATGCAGTGGGGTGGGGTGGGGGGAAAAGCATGCAGTGGGGTGGGGGGAAAGCATGCAGTGGGGTGGGGGGAAAGCATGCAGTGGGGTGGGGGGGAAAGCATGCAGTGGGGTGGGGGGAAAGCATGCAGTGGGGTGGGGGGAAAGCATGCAGTAGGGTGGGGTGGGGGGGAAAGCATGCAGTGGGGTGGGGGGGAAAGCATGCAGTCGAGCGTACCTGAGAGGGGGCTCTGGCAGCCAATGGACGTCGATAGCATCCTGCACCCAGTGCTGGGGAAATGGCCCTCTGGTGGGGGAGAGGTACAGTGGCAGAGGAGGGCGGTTCGGGAGGAGGAACAGGGGAGAGAAAAGGGGGGTTGGGGATGGAAGGAGTCTTGAGGCGCCTCAAAAGCAGCCAGTGGACATCGATAGCATCGTGCACCCAGTGCTGGGGGGAAATGGCCCTCTGTGGGGGGGGGAAGAGGTCCAGTGGCAGAGGAGGGCAGGGGAGGAGGAACGGGGAAGACAATGTGTCGTGTAGTGAATCGGCTCAAAACAGCGGATGCCTATGGCATCCTGCACCCAGTGCTGGGGGAAATGGCCCTCTGTGGGGGGAGAGGTGCAGTGGCAGAGGAGGGCGGGGGAGGAGGAACCTTGGAGAGAAAGGGGGGGATGGGGATGAAACGAGAGGGACAGGAATGAGAGAGTGGAGGGGGGGAGGTTTGCCAGTGAGGCTTTGTATATTCCAGGCTTGTCAATGTTTTGCTATTCAGCCCTCGCGTCCTCACCTGCCCCAACCGCTTCTCACCGCACCCAATTCGTGTCCCTTTTCTCCCCCTTCCTCACCCCCATACTTCCTCTCCTTATGTGGCAAGCCAAATCCCTCCTCCTCCTCGAACAAAACTGTGTTCCCCAATCCCCTCCATTCCCCCCGCCAGCACTCTCCCTGTCTATGTTCTCCCCACCTGCGTTCCCCCTCCCCCTACGCCCGCCTCCTGCGTTCCCCCTGTCAGCGTTCCCGATTTCCCCTGCGTTCCCCTGTCAGCGTTCCCGATTTCCCCTGCGTTCCCCCTGTCAGCGTTCCCGATTTCCCCTGCGTTCCCCCTGTCAGCGTTCCCGATTTCCCCTGCGTTCCCCCTGTCAGCGTTCCCGATTTCCACTGCGTTCCCCTTGTCTGCATTCCCCGTGTCCCCTGCGTTTCCCCTGTCTGCGTTCCCCGTGTCCCCTGCGTTTCCCCTGTCTGCATTCCCCGTGTCCCCTGCGTTTCCCCTGTCTGCATTCCCCGTGTCCCCTGCGTTTCCCCTGTCTGCATTCCCCGTGTCCCCTGCGTTTCCCCTGTCTGCATTCCCCGTGTCCCTGCGTTTCCCCCGTCTCCAGCATTCCCCGCTTCCCCTGCTCACCTGAACCAAACCGCGACTTGCGGTCCTTCTTCCCCACCCGCCCCAGCGTGTCACATCTACCCGCGGAGCCCTGCATCCGCGCATCCTCCCCTGCACCCGCGCCTCCCCCTCCCCTCCCCGCGCCCATCCCCCTCCCAGCCCCACTCCCCATCCCCAACCAGCCAATGTCCCCTTCTTCTACACTCATCATTCTTCCCCCAGGCCCCCCGCCCCTCGCTTTCCGCCCTCGCCCCATCTCCTCTCCGCGGAGCATTCCCCCCGTGGCTCCCCCCACCGTTCCGCCAATCGCCCCCGCGCCCGCGCTCCTCCCAAACGCGTCGCCTTTCGCTAACAGCATATTCTTACTATCCATGGAGCTAACGTCCATGCTCTGCCACCTATTAAGCCGCGACTCGGGTCTACGCGGCTCGGGAGATCTAGACGGCGACCGCCGATGCATTGGCGACTGGCTAAGCGAGTCCTGCCGGCTAGCCGAGTCCTGCTTACGGCTAGCCGGCTGCGAGAAAACGGCAGTCTGGACCGGTTGAATGGGTCTGACGGCATGGGCATGTGAACCTTTCCCCCGATGCTTAACCCGCGGCGGAGCGGCTTGGGCTGAGGGGAGGCGGAAGGGGAGGCGGAAGCGGGGGAAGCAGAAGCATCATGAGCTGCGGAACCGTGAGCGCTGTGAAACGCGCCGTGAACCGCGCTTGCTAGCTGACTGTCGAACCCGCCTTTTCCCGCAACGCCTCCTCTCCCTTCTGCTGTCGTCATCCCCCCCTCCTCCGCCAAGCCCGCGCCCTCCTCGCCAGGCGCCGCTGGCGACTCAGCCAGCGGCGGCGGCGGCGGCGGTGATAGCGGCTGCTCATGCGCTGTGGCGACGAGCTCCCTCTCCCCGCCAATGCCGAAGAACTGCAGATCGATGGACACCGCAATGCTCGATGCGCCTTGCCCTGCGCCTGTCCCTGCGCGTGCCCCTGCGCCCCTCCCGCTGCCCAGTCCCGTCCCCCGGCCCTCCCTCTGCCGCTCCTGCGTCTGACTGACCCGTCATCTGCGGAAGCTAGGTCCGACTCCTCTCCCTCCTCCTCCTCCTCCTCCTCCTCCTCCTCCTCGTTATCCTCCCCTTCCTCCGCCTCCTCCTCGTCGTCCTCTAACAATTCGCCAGCTCCCGCCTCGCCAACATCCGAAACTGAAGAGACGGTTCGGATTGACCGAACGTCCTCTGACGTGCTAGATACTATCCCCGATATAGACCCCGAGCCGGCTCCGGCTCGAGATAAGCTACCTTCCCCCCAGGTTCCCCGTCTGAGGAGATTCGCCGCAGCCCATTCCGAGCCTCCGCTGCTGCTTCGGCTGACGTCTCCATGCCGAACCTGCGCGTTCGGAACCCTCGGTCCGGGACGGCCGTGAATCGCGGCGTTATTCCCGGCCCCTCTAATTTCCCCGACTTCCCCGTCCGTCTCTGATTCTTCTTCTCCATCTCCGCGGGCCTTCGCTGGCAGAACTACCGAGAATCGCGCAGCCTTTTCTTCACCCGTGGCCAGAGGCGCGACCAGCTGGAGCCAGTCAGCCAATGGGAGGCCATCCACAAGATTGCAAAGCGATAAGGCTTCCAGCTCAGCATTGTTGTATCCAAGGGTTCTCCGCGCGCCTTCGCTGGCGCAGCAGATCCTGGCCGTCCACGGGTCGAGAACGAACTGGAGGAACTGGGCCTGCTGTACAAACCCTAAAACGGTCTGGCTCCTTCCGCCGCCGCCGAACGTCCCTTGGGGGTTGTTCCCGCCGGAAACTCCGCTCCTCCTTCGCCGTCTGTTGTTGGCAACGTGTCCGGGTCTCCCGTTTCTGGAAAACCTGGAGCTCTGATAGGCCACTGAAACCGTCATTAGTTACCGCTAGCGGTTAGAGGTTAAAAGTCTTGATACTTAAATAGTACAGTAAGGTATTACACACGCTAAGCTCCGGACACTTCGCATGCTGCTCTACTGTGTCTTGAAAATGAGTTAGCGGTCGTGCTCTGGTTGACACGCCGTTAGTTGTCAGAGCTTGATGGTGACAGAGTTTAGGACGTGGCGCCTGCGAACGATGGAACTGCAACCAATCAGTAAATCAAAGCTACGCTTTAGGTCAACTTATGCTAAATACTTGCTACAATCAGTAACTGTCCGTCCTACTCTTTTGACAGAACTGCTACCACAAACACCCCACCATAGCCGCAAGTCCTTAGCTCATTCTGAGCCTACAACAACAATTTCGTCACCAAGGCAAATGCGGGGGAGTGGTCGTGGAAGACGGAACAATTGGGTAAATCACCGACATTGCGCTCTCAAAATTTGGTCTACAATAGGTTTGCATAGCACAATTACCAGGTACAAAGTACGGGGAAGGAAGGGCTCTTTGTACAGTGCAGCCGGCTGCTCTGAAAACGAAACAAGCTTTTCCATGCTTATCAACTTTCTGACTCGAAATACTTCCGTTTAAACTTCTCAGATCATTTTCGTTTAGCCTGCCCCGCTGAGACTTTTACCGTACCTGAGTTTAACCCTGATTTTCACTAGCCACAGGCACACCAGCCCAGAGTTACCGCGCTTCGATGGAAAGAGACCTTGCCGGGGGAGAATGTGCGTCCCTCCCACTCCCACAGCGCCAGCCAACTGCCCCCACCAACCCTGAGGCGTGCGGCTTGTTGAACAAAGTGTCGTGCTGTCGGGGACGAGCCTGAGACTTCGGCCCTCCTGGCCCCAAAAAATATCATTTATGATTGGCTGAAGGGCAATCCCTGCGGTTTGGTGGAAGGCTTGCCTTGGCTGGATGCGAGTTCGATAGACGACACCAACACCAGAACTGATCCCAAAGCTCGCGTCGCCTTACCACATTGCGGTGATGAGCTTGACGGACGTCAGCATTCCTCGAACAGAGCCAGACGGAGGAACGAATGTTTGTCCTCGATGATGCAATTATCGCTAAGATACGACTGCACATAGACAAAACCAACAGAATGACTCAAGGAGAGGGTGCACTGCGTGCTAGGGTGCAGGTTTATCACTTGCCCAGTTAGATTGCAAGCGCGAAGGTAGTTCTTCATTTATTGGTTCTATCACTCTCCACCTTACTGCTGCTGTAATCAACTGGACTGCCGAAATAGGGGATGATGCCCAGCAAATCAGGGGCCCCTTGTAAGGACTGGATGAGCAAGAGAAACCTGCCAGTCTGTCTCTAAGCCATAAGGGTCAAGTGGATACTATTTGGATCTCTTCGCCGTTTCATTGTCCGTGGTCTCTGCTCCCTGGCCTCCTCTCAGTGATAATACGGTAATACTAATATCCCTTTTGTGCCGCAGCAATTACTGTTTCTCCCTGGCCTCTCATCCATGCAGAAACGCATGTATGGTACATCTGGTGCACAGTGCACATACTGGCAAGGTAAAGGTGATGATGATGATGATGATGATGATGATGATGATGATGATGATGATGATGATGATGATGATGATGATTCCATCAAGGCGATGGCAAGGGAAAGATGAAATTGCTGTACGACCACCCAGCTGCCCAAGGGCACTGCACTGGTTACGCCATCATCTCAGCCCAGCTCAATCAACGGCCCCATCCCCCCCCAACCCCCCTTCCCCCACCATAGCATGCTTCTCCTTCATGCCGTGCAGTTGCCTAGACTTGAGTGCGGTGATGACCAGAAGCTGTTTTTCCATCCCACCTTTTGTGTCGACTCACAAGTCAACTCTTCCATCCCACCTCCAAAGATACCCTACTTGGGAACTGCACGGAAAGATTCCAAATTCTATTCGCCACCCACCCGTCATCAGGAAACTGTTCACATTATCATTTACAGAACATGTCATTCTGCATGGGAATGCTTGTGGCCATGTGTATTTTTCACTGCCCACGGCCAAGGAACGAGAATGGAGGTCGACTCGCGATATGCTCGATACTCTGCATCTTTTCCCCACCGCTGCTGCGACGCCTTGTCCAACAAGGGGATCTGAAAAAGAGTCGGACGTCAATGGAAGTAATGATAACGGAGGTGACTTGAAATACGCTCGATATACGCTTACGCTGCATCTTCCCTGCACCACTGCTGTGAAGCGTTGTCAAAAAGGGGATCTGGAAGTGAGTCTCGCAGCAATCCAAGGAGGCTTTTTATGATTCGAAATGAACCCTCTCAGGGATCCGAAATAATGTCGGGCAGCAATTCAAGGAAATGAGACGAGGATTGCATAAAAATGGGGAGAGGGAGGGGGACGACTTTTGAGACGTCTCAAAAGTCGGGCGGCAACTAAAAGGAGACGAGACATTGACTGCGTGAAAAAAGGGAGAGGGAGGGGACGAGGGAAACTTGTGAATGAAATTCGAATGAGCTAGTTGTTGGGTAAAAGCCGCTGGTGAGTTTACAATAGTTGGAGATTAAGATTTGCGGCAGATCTCATGCTTTAGACTGCAGAAAGAAGTTGGCGAGTTTATAACGAGGGGGGACTACGCTTTGAGGTGAGGAGATACGCAACATTAGTTTCAATAGGCCAAGGGCAGAGTGTGAAGGGGGCCTTGAAAACAGAATTTGTTCAGCGCACAAGTGCAAAGAGTGTGAAGAATGTTGGAGTCAGTTTTGAGAATTCTAAAGAATGACTCCAACATAGGCCAATGGCAGGAAACATACCCCGCTCATGCGCACGAGTGCATAGAGTGTGAAGAGAGGACTCGCAAGACCTGTGACCACACGGGATGATGACAACAAGAAGTTGGGACAAGAAGGGTTATGTGTGGGTGTAGAAGGTGGAGTCATTCTATCGAGCATGCAACACCCCCAACAGATGGTACCAGGCATCTTGTGCCTGAGAATTGTGAAGGATCACACGAGCAGGTCCCATGGATGCGGCTTTGTCAGACTTGAAAAAAAACAAAAAAAAAAAAACACCAACACATGTCCCATGCACTACCAGGCACAGCAGATCTAAGATGAGGTGCACAGACAAAGTGGAAACGTGGAAATACGAGAAAACAACGATTTAAAAGAACCAAGGAAACAACAAAATGCCAGTGGATGGAAAAAACAAAGAGAGGCCCGAGCAAGAAAAGGCTCACATATGAGGCGAT